CTTTTGGCTGTCAGTGGGTTTTATTTTCCAACCAATGCTCACATACCATTGGTCATTTGGTCTAAAAATGTATACATTGTATTGGCTTTGAATTTTTATTACAACAGTGTATTAATTTACTAGTATTATTCCAGTATTTAGTATTATTATAATATTAGTATTATTTGGTATTATATATTTTAGTATTATTCTGTATCATTAACTTAGTTTTGTTTTGATTACTGTGTGAAGACGTGCTGATATCGCGTTTGGTCTCGTTCTGTATCGTGTATCTTGTCAGTGTCTGCGCTTGCTTGGCCATTTGTTGTGGAAAAAAGTGGAAAGTGTGTCCAGCTGAATTAATTTAGTATTTTGTTAGACGGGTATAAAAAAGCTTAGTTTACCGCGACAGTGGTTGCGTGAAGGCCTCCTCGGGTGAAGACCGAAGAGTGTAAAGACCATCGACTCTACCGTGCGACTACTACAATTGATTGCTTTTGTTGTCCTCATTTGTAAGTCGCTTTGGATAAAAGTGTCTGCTAAATGACTAAATAAATAAAATAAATAAACAGTGAACGTGAAAAAACTACTATGAAATCTCAGAGTCATTTGGTGCATTTAGACTGAATAATTAAAGGAATCACTCAAGCGCTCAGATATTCTTAGACTGCTGAACAAGGATATGAACTGAAAACCATTCAGCACGAGTTAGCGGGGCCTCATCAAACGGAAAAGGAATGTGCCATTTACTGAGTTCAGCGGAGTGCAAGAAATGAGAACGACACCTGAAACTAAATCTCTCTACAGCTACTAAGCATCTTGATAACATATTTCTAATAACTAGTTTCCCAATATACTCCCCTTTGACTGTTTGGATGAACAGGTCGTTCCTGTTATACTACCTTTTAGATAGTTCCTATACTAGTGCAATTAATCCAGCGAATTGTTAAGGCCTACCTATAGTTGACGTTTCACATTAAGCAATAATGAATATAGGCCTAAAAACAACACAGCTCACCTGTAAGGAACTAGGCCATGTCTAATTTTCACAACTTTTTTCAGGCATTTTTTTGTTCACTGGAAATTTGCAGAAAAACATTTTTTTTAGGGGTGGCACGATACCATTTTTTTCAGACGCGATCCCGATCCGATACCAAAAGTTCTGAGTATCGGACAATACCGATACCGATCCGATACCAGCACAGTTTTTTTTTTTTTTCTATACCTCAGTGTGTGTTGACCTGATCATCACTCTTTTGTGTGTTACACACAATCTAGTAAATATAGACAACTTCCTTATAAAGAAACATATCAAATTAAAAAATATATAATCATAATCTATGAGAAAAATACTATTATAAACTAGGTTAGTGGATAATTCAGCAGCAAAATGTACTCTACAAAAATGATGAGTTCACAATAATTTTATAAAATCTAAACATTTAGAGAAAAAACATTTAGTGGGGAACAAATAAAAGTAAATACATGTAATCTGGTACAATGTTACACATTGCTCATTGTATTGTAATATACATTAATGAAAAACAAGTAAATATAATTATATATAAATATAGGCAATAAATTAAATACATCTCTTTTACATTTATAGCACAGTAATGAGGCAGCAACATAGGATAGATAAGACAGAACAAGAAAGGCTATTAACAATCTTTCATTGCGCAAAAGTATTATAACATGAAAGGCTCCATTATGGAGCGGTACAAAGCACTTATGCGCATCCCATGCGTAGAATGATGCGCTTGAAGCAACACGGAGTCACAGCGCGCAGCGCTCCGCATAGAAAAGTTCAAAGCACAAAGGGAAGAGACATTGATGCATAGTGTATTATATCTGTGCCATAGTTTATTGGGCCTTTTCTTTTAACAGCTTTACATTTCAGTTATTGTGCGCGTGAAGAACAATTCATAGTGCTCTCTACTCCAGTGTAGTGATCTCTAACAGACGCCCGGTAGAAAGTAACATGATTCAGAATTAGCACTAAACTCCAGCAAGATAAAGTACTTTTATGCAAAACCACTGATGTTTATCTAACGTTACAGTTCAAGTATAATAATAGGAACATTGTATCATCCTAGAGAGAGTTCCATCGTCTTGACTGTCGTAACCGAACGCGACGCGCAGTCTGAATGCTGAATGGAGGATTACAGACAGCCGCAGCGGAGAGGAGTTTACGTGAACTTGAATTTAACGACTTAAATATTCATCTGTACCTCACATTAAACTATGGAACACTTGAAATATAATGCACGGAAACCTTATGGTGCTTTATAACGTTTTTGTGCCTTTCGTGGGATTTAACAATAACACAGAATAGTAAACGCACAATATCGGATTTGGACAGCATAAAGTGGCAGTATCGGAGCGATACCGATACTGAATATCGGATCGGCGCACCCCTAGTTTCTTTGGCTGAAAGTTTGATAGCCAGGTAAACAACATACTGTATGTTGAGTAGGCACTTCTGAATAACTGTTAATAAGTACGTTCTACACAGCATATATATAATCTGGATGAACTACATTCATTATGTTGTTATTGTCCTTGTGATAATAAGCCAATCAGGCTTGCAAATTGCAAACAGGCCAGTGTTTCATCTAATGCTTGACATTATTTTGAGATTATCGCATGAGCTTATTGTCGATTTATCAAGGTTATTCCTCACATTTTCTTTTGTCAAAAAATGTTTACTCAAAATGCACTAAAAAGTATGCAGTACATTATACAATACAGAACAGATGCATCAAGTCACTGCAATTCACAACTCCTCTCCTGTGGCCTCATGGGATAGTAAAGTGCCACTGGATGTGCACTTTGCAACAACACTGGTTTTACGAATATTAATATAAAAATTTTTTTACCACTGTTTCTTTGCAGCCTATGTGTCCTCATATACTCTGTTGATGGTACAGCACAGCACAGCACAAAACTGTTCAACCAGCACAAAATCAGACTAACTCTATCACCGCACAACTTTCAAACCAAAAAATAAAAAATAAAATAAAAGAAGACTTCTATCTGATGACCAGCCCTTGCAGAGATAACCATAATATGCAAGAGAAATGTAGGCTTTCTTGTAATCAGTTGCAAAAAAACCTTTGATAAGATTGCGTTCCACAACAAACCATTATTCCTTTAAAAACTCCCAGAGTACAAATACCATCCTACGCATCCACAGTTAAAACATGTTTAAGCCTTTTTTTTAAATGCTACAAGTAGATAAAACAAGCAGGCTCAAATTATGTACTGTATGTACTGTATGCATTCATCAAAACAGTCAAATGTGTAAAATAATAATAAAGCGATGTGCCTATAGACCAAAAAGGCATCTTAAAATATGCAAATGACAACAAACACGTTTACAGCATGCATTTTTATGCATGGTGGTGATGGCAGAATATTTATTAAATTTTTTCCCATTCTATTAAACAAAAAAAAATTATGCTGTTAGGAGTTGCAGTCATTTAAGTGCAGGTTTGGCAAGCTCAAAAAGCTTACCGAAGTGCGCAAAACTGGATAAGGTTACACCAGAATATCTAAGCAATCATGAGTCCACAACTATAGACACAGTCCAAGTTTATGAAACTAAGAATTTGAGGGCTCCAGTTAAGTACTGACGACATAACATCTCAGCATCCAAAATAACACAGCGACTTAGCAAGAGATGTGCGAGGTTACCACAGGAAACAGCCGTTTTCTCTGCAACCCATCTTGAGTTTTTTTAAACCTAAAGACCACATGGATGAAACAGCATTCTGAGATGAATAGGACAAAACTATGGTGAAACATAGAATTCTGTGCAGAGAAAGCAAAGCACACATCAAAGCCTTAATCACAAATGATGGAGGGAGAACAGTGCTGTGGGCCAAACTCCAGGCAGTAACAAAAAGAGTCTGTCTCTGATATAAAGTCCAAAAGAAACTAGGTCGCATTAAAATGACAATCGTCCAAAGCACATGATTAAATCTTTAAGAGAAAAGGCATTCTTCTTTTTAGAGATAGAAAGTTAAACTCCAAATCTTAAAAGTAATAATAAATAAATCTCATTAAAAGTAACCACTGATTAACGAATGATAATCACTCCATTTTACCTCAATACTATCCTTTCACTTATTTTACAGTTATTTGTTTATTTTATGGATGTTATTTGGTAATTTCATGGATTCTCACTAGCTGCAAATGGGTAGTTGACAAATATACCGTAAATGTGTCCTATGGCGTGACAGCAAACATTTAGAAAAGAAAAAAAAACTAACAATGAAGATAAATCTCTCTTATGCTATTTGTGTATTATAAACAATTATTAACAAGAAATTAATTATTAATAATGATTAATTATTGCTTTCTAAATTTTGCTGTTACACCATAGGACACATGTACGGTATATATGTCAACATCCCAAATACCTGCAACATTTGCAAAATGATTAAATCAAACTACCTCAAATTGAGTGTTTTGTCACTGCCTGCGATGATCTCATGGATGAGGACGGTTTTGTAATGCATAATAACCAACAGGTGTTCAGGTAAGGGAATTGACTATTACACATTGTAAGGAAATGCGTAGAGCTCTGATTATAGTGATATGGTGATTTTTTTTTTTACATTTGAACAAGACTGTGCCTCTCTGGTTTTGCTGCAGCTCAACACTTTACATTCATTTTCAAGCTACCACACAAAACTTAATTTCCATTCAAGTTTGCATGCCTCTAAATGCTAGTCATTTCTCGTGGAAACGAGGTTAAAGACACTGCACTCCACCCTGGGTTGTGTGCATGTGGTATTGATGGTATCAGCCTCCCATTCCATTCTGAGAACTTTCCTGGAAAAAGGTAAGAAACCAAATAGAAAGAAACCAAACACACCTAACAGACAATAAAGGGTCGTGTCTACCGAGCACGTGGGTTGTCAACAAACTGTTCATAGCAATATTTGTGCCCATTCAGCGAATGACATTCACATTCATTTGCAGGACATTCCCAAAACTTCTGTCAGTAGACTTACCTGCATTGTAAAAATTATCAAGAACTGACGTTTCACCAAAGTCCAGCTTCCCAAAGGGGACTATGTCTAGTTTAAACCCCACAATGTCACAAGCATCCTTCAGACACTGTAAAGCCATGTTCTCCGGGTTGAGAGGTTGGCTCGTCTCAGAGTTCCTCACATAGGCCACTTGCACGGCTCGGCTCTTACATTTACCCGTGGTCAACAAGTTCCCACTGTCTGAGGGCAAACTGATCACCCCAGTGTTGGCACTCTTACAGCTGGAGGAGTCCTGCCAGAAGGTCCCAGCACCAGGGTTCACGCTGCCACTGGATTCTCCATTACTCCCTCCCATCATGTCTAGGGGTTGGCAGAGAGAGGGTACAGAAAGAGAAATGGCCTCTGGATCGGAATTCATTTTTTCATCAGTTTGTTAAATGACCCCAACCCCAACAGTACAGCTTCTCAACCGGCACACTTCATAGCTGCCATTCCTGGTAACTCTACTAGTGGCACCAAACCAACAAATAATATTGACGTGATGTCATCAACACCGGTAACCTACAATGAAGACGATTATGGTTTCATTTTTAGATAAAAATGTAAAAATCCGCTTAGCAGCATATATAGGTCTGGACGGAAAAAAAATGGCAAGAATTGAATAACTGCATAGATCAAGGACTGATCACGCACACGCTCGTCACGACTCGAAGAAACGATATCACACTCCCGAAAATGCATCGATGTCCTGAAACAAAAGCGTTTCAGAAGAACTTATTTATCGGAGCGCATGTATAGTAGTTTCTGAAGTAACGTTAGCGCAGCTCTGTTGATCGCTAAACTCCGCGTGCGTCGTGTCAAGCCGTTTCACTACGAGACATCAAACGCGTTTCCTCAGTCCTGTCGTTCGTTTATGTCATTGTGTTTATATCATTAAATTGCGAAATCGCTCGCGGCTGAAGCGCGTTTGTCTGCTGGACCCTGCCCTATTTCTATTATTATCTTCAACACAACTCACGCTCAATGGGTGGAGTAGCACTCCGAACTTACAGGAAGTGAATTGACGAAACCTACTATGGAAAAGGCTCAAGTCATGAATATTAAATACGTAACGTAGAACTCACTCAGTTGGCCACTGTAAAGCAGACCTTGGGCCTCTCCCTGTACCCACAATGTTACAGTACACACTGGTTGACAAGTGACAAGACACAGATAACAAAAAAAATAAAATAAGTGAGTAAAAATAAATATGTAAAAATACATAGACAAAGAGACAGTAAACAGTATATTGTATGTAAAGTGCTATAAGCAAATTATGCAAGGGAATGTGGGTAGATGTAAGATATATTAAGTCACTAACGTACGTATAATAAATATAAGTATTGACAGTTGGGTATTGCACATGTTTTATTGCACAGCGGGGAGAACATTTTACTGTTCAATAAATTAACAGATAACACAGAAATACTTTTTTGTTTGTTTGTTTGTTTGTTTGTTTGCCTTGATGTTCCTTACACCCTCTGAAGCTTCATGATACCGAAAAAGCTCACACTTAAAGTGTGGTATTTGCGCTTGAGCTCTTGTCTACTTGATGTGATGTATTTCCTGTATTTGGCCCAAGTGTTCAAATGGGCATGAAGACTACATGAAGTGTGTGTAGAACTTTTGATTAGCCAATGGGACAAATCTGTAGTGTTATTTACAGAGCTTTATTTACACATTTTCATTTTCAGTATTCACTTTTAAATAAACGTCTAAATGTCTGTAGTAGTTTGTGTCACAGAACACATCATTTATTAATTGTGGTGCTTCTAATTAAGTGCAAAAATCAGTTGCAAATGTTTTACAAAATAAACATACTCATCTCTGCACCAATACACTGAGCAACACTTTACATTTTACTATTATATTATAATGTATGTAATATCTAATTAATTTAACTTACACTGGAAATTTCTTAATATCTTGCACTTTCGGGCTACGTGAGTTCCAGAATATGATGAATGATGGGATACACTTTTAGCCTCAAAAAGAAGTGGTATTAAAGATAGCATGGATTTAGTGTGTTTTAGACAGGAACAGAGCTTTGGCTTTTTTCAGGCTTGGGACAGTCTTGCACACTTCCTTCCTGTTGCATGCGTGCACTGTCCAGTGTCCGAGACTGCAGGTGTGGGTATTGGGACAGGCCCCTTGGTAAATTGCTCGCATAAAATTCAAGGCATTAATGTTTGCCTACAAAACCACCACTGGCTCTGCACCCCTTTACCTAAATTCATTACTTCAGAGTTATGTGCCCTCTAGAAGCTTGCGTTCTGCAAGTGAACGACGCATTATTGTGCCATCTCAAAGAGGCACAAAATCACTTTCACTGTCACAAAATTCACCTTTCATTAACTGTTCCCTTCTGGTGGAATGACCTGCCCAACTCAATCCGAGCAGTCCTTAGCCATCTTCAAGAAACGACTAAAAACACATCTGTTCCATCTTTATTTGACCCTCTAACTCTAGCACTTTCTATTCTATTTTAATTTGACTTGATCTATTTATCTTCTTTTTTTATTTAAAAAAAACACTAGCTTTCTATTTTTTCTATTCTATCTACTTGTTTTTCTTTGTGTGTATATGTGTGTATATATATATTGTAACAACTCGCGGTTGTTCAATTGAACGTGGGCTGTCTGGAGCTACACTAGGCTACTAGACTGTTACTGAGCTAACGGTTAGCGGGGCGCTAGCATCTATGCGATGCGGCTTTTACGCTTGGCTGATGGAGAGTGAGAACTATGGAAGGCCAAAATTGTCAAAAACACGTAAAATTTTACACATCAACAATGCGTCAAATACGCGTATTTTGACGCGTTAGATACGTGTTGTTTGCGTGTGAAAAAATCAGTGGGTATTTCACGTGTATTTAACGCGTATTTCACGTGTATATCGCGTATATCTTGAATACGTGAAATACCCGTAAAAAATTCGTTTGAACGGGTCAGTGTCATTGGCTGCTGAAAACTTGGGTCAAACCATTTATGTGAGCTTAAGGGGGTGTACCATTCATAGACTAGAATACCACCATTTAACATGCTATAGATCAACTTATTCAGCCTTTTTATTTTTGTCCTTTTTTTTACTTTTTTGTGTAGCCTATAGAAATAATATATTTAAATTGCAGTTTTATGAAAAATTTGATATTATATTAGAAATAAAATTGCCTCGCTTTTCTCCACGGATGCCTTTTTTTTTGTAAATAAACATATTAGTGGACATTATAGCTTTAACAGTGATCAAACTTAAGTTAGCATCAAAGCTTTAACATTTATGTGGGGAAATCAGTGGTGGTAAGCAATCAATGCAGGTTTTAGACAGACCATTGTAATCAATATCTGTCTTTGGAAAACAACATGTGCTTTTCTTGTGCTTACATTTACAGCTATTGCCAGCAGGCGGCGCTTATTATGCACTCATCAGACAAACATGCAGGTGATATTATCCATTTAAATTAATTTAAAAACATAAAGTATTTAAATATGGCATTTTAGAATGTATTTAAGTATTTAAGACTAAGTATTTAAGTTTTCATCCAGGGTGTCTTGGGTTGTGTTCCGAGGACGGGCGAGGCTTTTGCGGGTTTGGAGCGACGTGGGGGTGGGTGATTGATGACAAGGTTTTCATTTTGGGGTGGAGTATCCCTTTAATTAAGTTTTTAAAATAATAAAGTTACAATTACATAATAATATTTCTACTTCAATTTATTGTTCCGTAAAAATGAGAATCGATTAAAATCGAGATATCTATATTTTTTACCCAGCCCTAGTGTATATATATATATTATACTGTATATATATATTCTATCACGCTCTATTCTAAGACATTTAGACTTGCACTCTATTCATTTGCTGCTTGTTTTCTTTATAAAAAAAAACTAATACTACACAGCCCTAACAAATCCCCAGTGTCAAATTAACACTGCTGGGTGTCTATATGTGTCCACACTACAGAGTGTTAAAAGTAATACTGGAGCAGTGTTAAAGTTATTGAGGTAATTAAGAGATTCATTGAGTGATGATTGACCATTAT